TTTAGAGAGAAACCAGACAAAGAAGGAAAGGAATTTGGGGTGGAAGAGAACCAGAAGTTTACAGGGATCAGGGATTCATTTATGCCTGTGACATGAGTTAGGGGTGTAGCCATTTACCCAAAACACAGATGCAACAGAACTGAAAACAAGAGATCTAAGCAGTAACCACTGAAACCTAGTCATGTGCTTGTCCAGATGACAGGCGGGGGTAGAGTGGCGACTGGGGTGGGGAGTGAATATAGGAACACGGGTGGAGGGAATTTGATATAGGAATTGGTGTTCAATTATTGTACGCCTAAATGCAACTATCAATAACTTTGAAAATACTGGCACTTTAATGAAAACTTTAAAAAACAATACAATAGAATAAATTTCCAGATTTCAGAACCCACTGAGGTTAAGGACCCCCTGGTCCCAGCATTAGGCTCTGATATTTTTCCTGTGATGCTGAGACCATAGATGTGGTTGTGGGGATGGAGCCGGTACCCACCTTTCAAGTCGCATGCTCGGTCCACTGAGCACTCCAATGGCATAATAGTTTCAACAAGTGAATCTTAAAGCACACTTGTATGCAATAGCCCTGTTCCCTAAAGAAATTGCTGTAATGCCACATCCTAAAACTGTGATTTGAGTTCTGAAATCAAACAAAATCAACAATGAGAATTAGTCCAATGTTGAATGGAATGCAGTTGAATGACCAAGCAGGTGGAGGACAACTCCATATTTCTCACAGCCCAAGCAAGTCTACAGAAAGGGAAAATCTGTGGGAAGTGTCGCGAAGGGGAGCTCGGCAATTCCCAAAAAGGCCTTTTGTGTTTTGTTTTTAATCAGACCCAGTGATGCTTGGGATAACATAGGGGATACTGGACATCGAAGGTAGGCGGCATCTGTAAGGTGAGCACCCACCGTGATGCACTGCTGTTCTCGTCCTAATTAACGTCACTATGGGCTCACAGTCACAATTTAACATACACACAATAAAACAATTTTTGGTGCCTACAAGCGAACAGCAGGTAGGCATTTGCCTTGCATGAGGCTGAAAGGGGTTGATCCTTGAACACTGTCAAAAGCAACTTACGAGAACCACCAGGAATAACTGCTGAGCATCCCCAGGCCCCAAAACAAAAGAAAACTAAACTTCTTCCTATATTCAAAAAACATGGAAATGATCCAAAGGCAAATATAAGCATCGTGTCAGATTAACTGAGCGGGGTCCAGAAAGGGTACCCGACCCTTTAGGAGTACAGTCAGGCTAGTTATATAGCCGGGGAAACAAGGGCCTTGAAACACATGGACTATTAGACATACCTGACAGATGAGGAAGAATGACAACAAAGTCAAGAAAGCAAAGCACAGGATCTATCCGTAATGAAGAGCTCCGGGGAGAAGACACCCCTACCCTATGCCACACCTCCACATAACATGGTCTAGCGATGAGAAGGGGACACTCAATGTTCAATGAGCAACTCAAAGATGTTTTGGACTGGAGGATTCCTGGGTTGGCCACACGCAAGGCAAGCATCCTACTTGCCCGACTATTGCTCTGGCCATTTCTAAATAAATTGGAGAAAACGGGAAAAAATGGGAGAGCAATTACAAAGCTTTCAGGTTTAAGTCTCGGTCATACAATGAAACACCCGTCCTTTCACCGTGCCCATTCCCACCACTAAAAACCCAAGTATACCGCCATTCCACAGTCTCCCACTATGGGGCAGATAATTTCCACATTCTTCTCTCTACTTTTATTACATTCAATATGTTGACTCGAGACCACCATTATTATTTGGGATTTTACCCCAGCACTCAAATCTGGCGAAAACGCAACATCGACAATTCTTTTTCGATTCCTGGTTAAAAATAACTTATGATTCTGGAATTCTGAAATTTTAACAACTAAATCTGGCGAGATTGCTGTCAAAACCTGCTGGGTTCCGAGATTTGTTTCAGAGTCTCTGGGGTTATGGCCATTAAACAGCTTTACAACGAGCCACAGAGGCGGTTCATGGGAATGACATAGGCTCTTGTTGGGGAGGGGAGGAATTGGCCGGCTCCACCCCATCCTGAGAGGCCCCACGTATCTTCCTGAGTGAGGGCCCAAACCTGACTTTACAAAGGCCTTTGGAGGATGGAGGCCACCGAGCCGCCAAGTGGGAGCAGTTGGGGGGACAGCACCAATTTCCCCTGGGGTGGACAGGGAACAGTAACCTACTGCAGGGTCCAGATGCATTTCTGCTAAAAGGCACTGGGTTTCAAGATTTGTCTCTGAATCTCTGGGATCATGGCCATTACGCACCTTGATCACGAACCACAGAGGTCAATCATAGGTGCCAGACAACTCGGGGTTTCGTTGGGGTGGGGAGAAAAGGGCCGGCTCCACCACCATCCAGTTAGGCCCTGCACGTCTCCTCACAGCAGTCCCAAACTGAACCGTCCAGAAGCCATTAGAGATGGCGGCCACTGAGTCGCCAGGCATGAAACCTATTGCCACCTGAAATACTCAGCTTTGGTAACCTACTGTGGGGACCAGACATATTTCTGCTGAAAGCCGCTGGGTTCCGAAGATTTGTTACTGAGACTCTGGGATCATGGCCTAGTGATCAAGAGCCAGACAGTCCGTACATGGGTAGCAACTCGGGGTCTCATTGAGGTGGGGAGGAAAGGGCAGAGTCCGCCCCAATCTCATGAGGCCCCACATGTGTTGTCACTGCAGGCCCAAACCTGTCTGTCCAATGGCCTCTGGAAGATGGTGGCCACTGAGCCACCAAGTGGGATCAGGCGGAGATACACACCCTTTTCCCCTTGTGGTGGTCTGTCACTGGTAGCTCATTGCGGGAACCAGGGGCATCTCTGCAAAAAGCCGCTGGGTTCCGAGATTTGTCTCTGAGTCTCTGGGATCATAGCCTTTAAGCAGTTTGATCAGGAACCAGAGAGACCTTGCCTCCAATTATATAGCTGAGCCGGAAATGGTTTGTTGGTGTGTCTTGCACATACCTAACTTTTGGCCATTTACTTTCTTGGAAGACTTTGCCCAACATTTTTGTTGTCTGGCCAAAGGTACAGCATCTATTTCGGAGTATCTGGAAGTCTGATAGTGCCATCATTCTGCTGATGCACTCGCCTAAGAGGCACAGATTGACCTGCTGGTGGTACCATACACCTGGGAAGTAGAAATTCTATATATGGAAAAAACCACCAATATTGGGGTTGGACTCACTATAAAGCGAGTAGGATGCTTGCCTTGCTGATCCAGATCAAACCTCCCCATCCCATAGGAACCCAGCAGCACTGCAGAATAATTTCTGAGCTGCAGAACCAGAAGTATACCTTGAGCATCAAAGAATCCCTTTCAACTCCCCTGAATTAAAAAAAGCTAGTAAAATTAATCCAAAGTGGGGCTGAAGTGATAGCAGAGCAGGTAGGATGTTTGACTTGCACATGTCCAACCCGGTTTCGAATCCCAGCAACAATATGGTCCCCTGAGCTTTACCAAGAGTAATTCCTGAGTGCATAAGCCAGGAGAAACCCATGTGAAAAGCTGGGTATGACACAAAAAGCAAAAAAAACCAATAATAATAAATAATAATAATAATCCAAAGAGTAAATTTTCAGAGTCAAATATCTCTCACTTGTCCAAACACGTCCCAAAGTCCCAAACCCAGCACGGAAGCCAGTGAAAATGACCAATCACAAAAGTGTCCTTTTCCTCTGGGGGCTGGCCGTGAACATATCTGGAGGTTCGATAAGTGTTATGTACAGTCCAAAGGCTCCAAACATGGTCCTGTGTAGTCTCGAGTAGGGAGGAATGAGATGGCCAAGACCCCCACTCTCTGCAGACTCCTCACACCAAGGCCTGAAGTCCATGTGCCCACCCTCCAGTGCCATCTTGGACATGGTTGTGATCGTGGCTGCAGAGGCCCTCAGGATAACGCACCTTCACCCATGACACTTGAGCCACAGAACAGCCCCCAATGCACCCCTCAAAAGCTCCACATCCACTAAAGCCTGGATATCCAGAACAAGTAAATAAAAGCATGAAAGTACCCTACAAGCTGGCGTTACCTGCTGCTCAAATTCCCAAACCGGGATTTTCAGGGTGCTCAAGCATTCCAAATTCTAACACAGGAAAGACTGAAGAATGAAGGTTTACCTGTTTTTCCATTTTCAAAGAATTCAGTGCTGCATCTTGGTTTATTTCTGCCATAATACCCACCAAACAGCCCCTCTGGGCCAAGCCAGAAGCATAGCAAACAATAAGAGAGTAGTGAGCTGTGACAGCTCTGAGCAGGGGGGTGTTTCTATACCTGTTCATTCAGTCACCTTCCTCCTTATTTTCATCACCAGGTCCCATTATTTACAAGTTAACACACAAGCAATTCTAAGCACTAGAATACTGGCATAGGTGAAGCCCGGGTGAAAATCAGCAGGTAACTTTCAGTGACATGAGAAGCCTGTTCCGAGCAGGCAGGCTTACTTCCCTCTTAACTGCACTTTTTTAACACCCTCGACAATTGTGTCCAAAGGAAACTTGCTTGAATGACTTGTCCTGTTCTGTCCTTAGAGACTGTTATTAAGGGATCAAATCATCCGGTATGAATTTTTATATGTTTATTATGGTGTGAGGGGTACATTAAGCCCTTCCCACATTACTGACATATATGCAGTTTGTCTTCAGTATGAATTCTCACATACTGAGTAAGAGAATAGCACCAAATGAAGGCCTTCCCACAAGTCGGACACTAATAAGGTTTTCCTCCACTATGAATTTTCCTGTGCATAGCAAGGATTTAGAATGGCAGAAGGCCTTGCCACATTTCTCGCATATATAAAGTTTTTCTCTGGTGTGAATGCTACTTTGTACACTAAATATGAGACTTCTCAAAAGGCCTTTCCACATTTCTTACATGTATATGGTTTCTCTCCTGTGGTATTCTCCTATGTACATTAAGTATTGAGGACATACAGAGGCCTTCCCACATTCCTTACATATGAAGTTTCTCTCCAGTGTGAATTTTCCTATGTACACTAATATTTGAGGCTGTAGCAAATGCCTTCCCCCATTCCTTACATATATATGGCTTCTCTCCAGTGTGAATTCTCCTATGTACAGTCAATTGTGAGGAAGAAGTAAAGGCCTTTTCACACTCCATACATATGTAAGACTTCTCTCCAGTATGAATTCTCATGTGCAGAGTAAGGGAAGAGAACCGTGTGAATGTCTTTCCACATTCCTCACACATATATGGTTTCTCTCCAGTGTGAATTTTCCTATGGTCACGAAGTGTTGAGGCTACAACAAAGGCCTTCCCACATTCCTTACATATATGCGGTTTCTCTCCAGTGTGAATTCTCCTATGTTCTCTAAATGTTGAGGCCCAAGCAAAGGCCTTTCCACATTCCTTACATATATATGGTTTCTCCCCAGTGTGAATTTTCCTATGTTCACTAAGACTTGAGGCTACAGCAAAGGCCATCCCACATTCCTTACATATATACGGTTTCTTTCCAGTGTGAATTCTCCTATGTACACTAAGATTTGAGGCTACAGCAAAGATCTTCCCACATTCCCTACATATATACGGTTTCTCTCCAATGTGAATTCTCCTATGTAAACCAAGTCTTCCGGCCCAAACAAAGGCCTTTCCACATTCTTTACATCTATACGGTTTCTCTCCAGTGTGAATAATTGCATGTCTCCTGAGGCTTGACGACTGAGTAAAGGCCTTGCCACACTCCTGACATATATAAGGCTTCTCTCCACTATGAGTTTTCATGTGTCTATTAAGATGTGAGGTCCGAATAAAGGCCTTCCCACAAGTCTGACATTTATATGGTTTCTCTCCTGTATGAATTCTCCTATGCAAAATAAGATGTGCTGATCTATTGAAGATCTTTCCACATTCTTCACATGTATAAGGTTTCACTCTTGCATTTATATCCATATGGTCATTATGGGGTAACCCTTGACTCACACTTTGTTCTCGGGGCTGACTTTTCTGGGGATTCTGTCCACTGTGGTTTTTTAAGGGAACAACACAGTGCTGAGAACATGGGGAGGCTCCGCCACATTCCTTACACGTAGATGGGTTCTGCTCATGGTGATTGTTGTTGAGGGTGTGTTGCTGTGAGGGATTCACTATAAACAGTGCTCCTCTCCCTAGCAGGTGCCCCATTGGGGAATTTTTTGCCTGTGAACTGAGAATAACACACTCCAAGGAACTTTTTCCAGGAGAGGGCTTCTTCAGAGTGAGGTAGCTCTCGCCATTCTGATCACCCTCAGAAGACATCCCGCCTGTCTCGGCGTCCTCATGGGGCTGAGGGTAGGATTGCTCACTAGAGACATTGCCACACAGTGTAGGATCAGAGCATTCCACTCGGGGTGGCAGCTTTCCTGTAGAACAACAGAGGATTCTAATTATTGACTTATACACTGAGTCTTCCTGACAAAAAACTGAGCCTTTCAGCTGTGGTTTCACACATATGCACCACACAAATGCAATGTCCGACATATGAATTGTCTTACGATAGAATAATTTCATGTTACTGTAAGTTGGACACACGAAATTGATGGATGCAGAGTCAGTAAATTCTGTGGCTTTCTCCCCTTTAATTTAATGAAGGAATACAACTGGACATAATTCCTTCTATAGAAAATGGAAGCATCTATTTCAAGAGAAAATGAAATAGATCCACATGTGGATTTGGTTAAAGTTCTGTGTGGAACCTGTGATGCAGGGGTGAAGACAACCCTGCAACGACACGCAGCTGAGACAGACCACGTGGTCATTGCAAAGCTCTCACCACAAGTGATGGCTTTCAGGATCAATGAAGTTTTTTGTTCTTTCTGTTTTGTAGTTTCTATTTATTGGGGTTTAGGTGGGTGGAGGGGCACACCATGTAGTGTCTAGGATCATTTCTGTGGGTCTATGCTGTCTATAAGGAGTTCTGGGTAAGGACCATCTATCCTTGTGCAAAGAAAGTATATTTCTCACTGCACCCTCTCTAGAGCGCACAAATTAGCATTCAAAACGACTATCACTGTTAAGCAAATCAAAATTCACAGTATTTTTATATGTGGTTTATTTCAGCACGTAGTGAAGCTAAGGGTCCTGTACTCCAAGCATCAGACTTTGGAATTCCTCCCTGCCATTCCCAGCCTTCCACCTTAACAATCACATACTTGGTCCACTCCTGCTGGCATAATAATATTTATTCTGAATTAGCGAATCTTACCAACTCACTCATACTTGCTGACCCCATTCACAAATCAAAGTGCTGTAATGCCAAATCCTGAAGTCGCGGTTTCAGTTATGAAACTGAACAAAACATGCAATATATCCACATGTCATAAAATGATGCCATGTAGTTAAGAGTACATTTCTGTGGTTCTCTGAGTCCAAAGAGTCCAACACTAAAGAAAAGATTTGGATAGTGGAAAACTGTGAGGATCTTGGCAATTCTACACTAGGTTTTGTTTTTGTTTTTGAGTAGAGCTGGTAATGTTCGGGAAACCAGGTTACTGAACAAATTATTGAACAGGTCACCTTCAGGCACTGCAAGGAACTCCCTGCTGTACTATCATTTAGATCCAAACTAGCTCTGCTATGGTCTTACTTATTCGAAAGCCATGGAAACAAATTACAGGATCATTCTGTGACTGACATTCCAGGGAAATGAAGAGCAGCATGAGTGCAGCACAGACCCAAGGATCCAGGAGACCAAGGCCCCGTGGCCCCCTTCTCAGCAGCGTGTTTCCTACATGCTCAGCGCACCCATTCACTGCACAGGGCCTGAGTCAGGAAGGGTCCTCAGACACTCACCCGCACACACGCCTCTCCTCACTGACCTCAGGGCTCCTGCTTCCAGCCAGGAGATCACTGCAGACTTCATCCTGGAGTGCCCTGCCCCAACAGAGACAGAGGCATGGATAAGTGACAGGGAAAAGGTGACCGGTAAATGCCCATGTTTTCCTGATATAAGTGGGCATATATCTGAAAAGCATGAACAGAATGTCCATTTCCAAAATGCCACATATTACTAGTTATTCGAGAGGTAAGACCCAAGAAAATACGACAAATACTCTAGACCTGACCTTGTGTATGGCTGATAGGGAGTTGATCAGCACAGTATGTTGTTGGTTTTTGTCTTCTTTGGGGTCTCACCTGGCAATGCTCAGGGGTGACTCCTGACTCTGTATTCAGAAATCACTGCTGCTGGTGCTCGGGGATGACATGGGATACCGGGGATTTAACCCACGTTTGCCGCTTGCAAGAAAATCACTTTCCTCCATGTACTGTCTCTCTAGGCCCAGAACCACATGGAGATTCCTGAGCCCCTCATGAAGTCATCACGGATTTCAGTAAAAATAAGTGCATAATAAATCTGGAAGTGGCCAAGCGTGGCAAGAGATTCTTATTTTTTTAAGCTAAAAAATGTATCCAGAAAGATAGCAGCACAGGAGTTTCTCACGGACAATCCAGTTGCGAAACCTGATATCACCGAGGGTTCCTCATGCCAGCCAGGAGTGATCCCTAAGTGCAGAGTCCAGGAGCAAACCCTAAGTCCTGCTGAAGTCTCAAAAGAACCATTAGAAGTAAATCCAAGCACTGAAATAGGCAGCGTCTAATGAGTTGAGAGACGAGATATCAAATCCCCTGTGTTGGGAGAGAGGTAGTACAGCACATAGGACAAAAGCACAGGACACACATGTGGGTTTGATCCCAGGCAGTCCATATGGTCTTGGAGCAAGGCCCGGTGTGGATCCTGAATACACAGGCAGGAATAATCCCTAATCCCTAAGGAAAAAAGAAAATGCAAAAACCGTCTGACTTGAGTGACTGGTGCAAAAGTACTGGGGGTGAGGCACCAACATTTTAAGTTGCCAAGAGGTTTCAGTCCACGGTACCCCATGGCCCCTTAGCACTCTTAGGAGTCATCCTTTAGCACAGAGCCAGGATAACTGTGGACTGTGCCCCTCCAAACATAGGCAACAGAAAAACCAATTAAACACACAAAAGTTCGTGTAGTACACAAAGTAAATTGATGCCCCAATGGATAGAACTTTTTAAAGGGAACTGAGAGATAACTGGACAGATAGGGATCTTCCCATGGACACAGTCCAAACGGGTTGATATGAATCACACAATAGGATCCGGCTACCCCGAATGAGAAATTACGGAGGATAAAGCTGAGAGTAAGGGCTGAGTATCCACAGGTGAACCCTAAAAAAAAAGAGGGAGGGAAGAGCTATTGCACGGCTGTACAACATCCCAGCTCGTCACAGAGCTACTATTGGACACACAGCTGCCGCCCAACCACAGGGAGCCCACACGGGTCTGTTCAGACACGGTTGGCTCCACACTGCTCTAACCGACAGCCTGCAGATTCTGGTAGGTCTCCAGCATAACGTCCCTGTAGAGCTTCTTCTGAGAGGCCTCCAGGCATGACCATTCCTCCGGGGTGAAGTTCACAGCCACGTCATGGAAGGTCACTGCGTCCTGAGTCAGCACACAAAGAGGGTGGGAGTCAGAGTCTATCTTAACCTCATTCCCACTACTCTGAGGCCAGGTTCCAGGGTCCTATATTGTCGCTGGGCCTCTCCACTCCGAATGCACCAGCCTCCATGCACATACATGACTGACGGGCCCCAAAAATCACATAAGGCAACTGGATCTGCTAAAGTGGGAGGAAGTTTTACAGAAGGTTCTTGGATGTATCTGCCTTTCCTGGTAACCCCCCGGCCAATTCGAGCACCACTGTTCTAGTGAGCACTGTAGAGAGGATCACCTGTATGATCCCTTTTGGACTTGTATGATCCAAAAGGCTATCCCTGGGTGTAGCAAAAACTAATGCACGCTCACCGCTGCACCCCCACAGCACATGACCACTAGGACTGAGAACTCGAGAGTCCATATAGACAACTACTCAGAGCAGTGCATGGCATGTGTGCCTGTAGGAACTCATTCCTCAGGACTGCCCCAAATCCCGCTCAAAGAAGGTAGAATTTTCTGGACCCCAACATCTCTACTGGCCTCAGAGATCCTTGGATTTCTCATTTGATTGGCGCATGCCCAGAAATCCACACACAAGATTATGTGAACATAAGACTATATGACTGAGCAGGTAGTCTCTCCAACGCAGGAAGGACAAAACAGGAGAAAAGCAAGTCTCGGGCCCAAGTCACAGTAGTTGCCAGGGAGAAAACGGGGCCAGCACACCGCAGGGTGCTCTGAGGCCAGTAAGTTTTCAATCTAGAGCCCAGAGTCAAGAGGACAGCTCATGACAAAAACAATGCAAAAGAAACTGAAGCTGCAGGTTGACGTAACAGGACAGCTGTTCCAGGGACAGCATGTAGGACTGGCGATCCCCAACATCCCATATGGTCCCTCAAGCACTGCCAATGGCAATGCCAGAGTGCAGGGCAAGGAGTGATAGCGAGAATCCCTGCTCTGCCACCCCAAATAAAACAGAAAACCCAAGATGAAACCTTTGGACCTCCAGCATCCCATTGGTCACCTAGACCTGTCAGGAATCAGCATTGAGCACTGAGCTTTGAGTACTCCTCATGCACCACTGGGTCGGCCCCAAAGCCAAATAAAACAAAACAAACATACACAAAAGCAGCTTCAAACAGCAGAACGGGACAGTCCGATCAGAAGTCTCATCTTGGAATCCGTCCAAAAGAAACTCAAAACAGGTGGACCAGGAAGCCTGGGCACTCCGGGTACTACCTCATGTCATACTATCCGTCTACTCCTACCTGGGGACATTTTATCGGAAGCCGCGTCACCATCTTCTCCTGTCACTATTGTTCTGAGGATCAGCAGGAGGCTCCGTGCAAAGACCTGGAAAGTCAGAACAGTGAGCACCAGAGAGGAGCACCTCCTCCCACTCCTGAGCTCAGACCAGCCACACCCTCCCGCACAGCCTCACAATTCCACCT